CTCGCGCTCGGACTGTTGCAGTCAACTCCCTAAACGATGCTCAGGGAGGACCGTGGAAGCACACGCTATTTCTGCCGTTGTGGGAAACGGCGCGCAGGCCTGCGCTCCACGTGGCCATGACCATGTGTTACAGCTCCAGCTACAACCCGCCCTTCGAGAATGCGAATGGATACCTAGAGTACGTGAGAAACAACCTTCCCGAGTTCAACCACTTCGTGACTTTGTCGGATAACAGCGCCCTCGTCGCGAAGGACCGCGCTATAACGAAATTCAGGACGTTGAGGCGTAAGGCGAAGGAGGCGGTCACGGCTTCAAAGGGGAAGCTAGCAGACGCTATGCTTGGTCCAGAGCGGAAAGAAATGATGACGGACGAGGAGGAGGATGTCATGCACAGGCTGACGGGCGCCCATACGAGGGTAAAGGTTCGGAGCTTTCAACTGAAGAAGGGTTAGTGATGAAGTTGTCGTTTCTTGGAGGACATGCATATTTGCCAACCTACCTGACTGAGCTGTTTGGCCCCGTACACGATGACATTCTGTACTATTCGAAACGAAAACGACCGATGTGTTGAGACGTATCGTGGTTGACGTCGGACCGGTTTGCTTGGCCTGCGTTGCTTTCGAACCGACAGGCAGAATCCCACCTCGAGAGACGCGAAGCTGACTTGAAACGCATCATGGGCCATTATGTGGTAAGTGGGGAAATGAATTCCGGGTGATGTGAGTGTCCCAAGCGCTAGTGGAGTCGCGAACACGAAACGGTCGTAGAGGTAGTCCACCTGACGCTCGAAGTAATCAAATAACGGCCCAGTATGAGGGTGTAAGTCCGTGTTTGTTTCGGTTGTTGCCATTGACATCGAGAATACACTGTTTGCTGGTCGGGCAGGTGGGGGACTCCTCGTTGACGTCGCGTAGCTACATATTCTCAATGAAATAAGTTCATCACAACCCTCGTCATGTTGCCCAAGAGTTCTCAGCGAACCCCATACGGTGCGCTGGTGCGTGGGACAGAGGACGTCTGATTATTCCGTGACTTCTTTACCCTCGCTTCACGCCATCGCCGTCCGATGTATGTGCGTGTGATGGCACCGTTTGAGCGTGTGGAGCATGCAGCAGAAGGAAACGAAGAGGCGTTCAATATACGCGTGGTGAGCACGTCGAAGTGCGATACGGTGGATACAATCTCAAGTAGATTTCCCCAATATTTGCTTGGCGTTTTCGCGACCGCAACACTTTTGCTTATGCGCATTACTTGGTGGCACGCATCCTCTGTCAAGCATCTCGGAGCATAGGTATCTGCTTGAAAACGTCGACTGTGTAGAAGTCACGACCAATCCATAAGACTAGCAGACCCTTTGACCAGGCCAGACGTGTTGAGTGATTGAAGCTTCAAATATATCGTGCCCTTATGCGACCAACGTCTGGTCGTGTACCTCAGGATGAGACGAGTGAAGAAGCACAGCGGNGAGGGCGTCGATTCCGTGAACGGGCAGGAGGCGAAGGGAAAGCAGGACCAGGGAAGGGGGGGACAGAAAAACGGTGGGAACGGAGAAAAGACTGGTGGTAAAGGGGATGACGAGGCGGGCGGCGATTCCACGCACGGGCAGGCGGAGGGAAAGCAGGGCAAGGGAAGGGGAGGACAGAAAAACGGTGGGAATGGAGGAAAGACCGGTGGTAAAGCGGATGACACGGCGGGCGTCGATTCCGTGAACGGACAGGAGGCAAAGGGAAAGCAGGGCAGCGGAGTTGACGGCAGCACCGCGCCCAAGGTGGGCAAGGATAGGAATGGAGACAACGCGTTACGGAAGCTGCGACGGAGGGCACATAAGGTGTCAAAGAATGCGCGGCTTCAAGAACAGAAGGCAAGGCAGGCGCAGGCTTTCATACGGTTTGCTTTGATGAGTCATGATTGCTCACGTTGAACAGACGAAGCGCATACGGTGGTATGGGGACCAGCGTAACGGGAGCAAAATCGCCAAGACCAAGACGTCTCGGGTAGCCACAACGTCGTGCTAGTGTTTCGCCACCAGCACTTGTCAAAAGCACCCACACTCGTTGCTTTAAAAGAAACATGTCGCACTTCCACATGTGTTCGTACAGGGGTTCTTCGACATCATGGTCGGCACTCGCCTTCACAATGGGGTTTGGAACGTGAAGCAACCAGGGTACGGAACTGTGATGAAGGTCAACATGGATGCCGACCACAAAGA